CTACAGCAGCAGCAACAGTGTTCTGAAGATGTGTGAATGAAAATGCTACAGGCCTTTAATTATCTCAATGCAAATCTCAGAGGGACAAAGTGACAGAACTTTTGATGAACATTAACTTGGACAGACAACCTGCAGGCAACAGCTTGAACTTGTCATAACGGGTATTATTCATATTTACACTCTACGTAAAGCATGTTATCAGAAGTCAGATTCTATGTCAGATATACAGTATTGCTGCAACATACGGTACAATGTTTCTACAAAAACGTATGTGTCAAAACATACCGTGTTAAAAATTCAGTGTACTAAACCGACATGAATTATTCCTGTTATGTATTCATTCCCATCAAACCAGCTTAATAATAACCGAATTTGTAAAATATTCAAATTAGCCCATCTAATAAAACCCTAACAGATATTTAATATCTAATTATGCATCCATTCAGTGTTGAGAGTTTTTGCTGGCCCTGGTGAGACACTTGAAGTTTACACAATTTAATAGCATTCAGCTGAGCCTATTATCTTTATGCTTACACATTATCTCCGCCTGTTAACAACAATCTGTAGTGATGTGGGAGTTCGAGAAAGAGATGCTTTATATAGCTCATTAATTTAAGTTATGATCCCCTTCTGCTTGAAGAGTTCTACTTTAAATGCCACTATTGCTTTTAAGAATGGATTATAGGTGGACAGCCTTATGGATATCAATGATACATCTTTCTGTAAATCATTGTTATTTTAGAACAGAAAGCTGTTTGTCAGCTCATATTACATTAGACATCCGTTGACTGGCATCACTGATTAATGTTATTTGTTTTTCTGATGTATTCCAATTTAGATTGTGTAATATGATTTATCAACCAGTTCACATAAACAGAAACATGTTTCGTCTCATTTTAATTCTTAAACTTTAGTTCTATAACCGTTAAAAGGTTACAACAAACTAAAATATACTACTATCATGTTGTATTAATCTTTATTTGAAGGTAACATTGCAATAGGTACATATGAAATCTGTTACCACCACCGTGAAATGAAGCTTGTTTCATATTTCAAACAAGCATTTTGCACGTGCTCATTTAGCTCAATTGTAAATCTCTGTTTGTATCTCCAGTGTTAAAGGTTACAACACTAGTGTTCTGTTTCCTAGTGTTGGAGGTGCCGCTTTATTTCACAAATGTTCACAAATTTCCCAGAATCATGGGGATAAGACAGCATAATTCTGCTTTAAGGTAGATTGTCGCTTTGAGCAATGTGCTAGAAAAATCTGAACATCCGCTAATTCCAGGGGACGCAACAGAAATCACTCAACACCTGTTTGTTGGATTGCCAGTGATTAACTTCATCAAGGGCTATTCAGCATCTGTGTGCTGTCATAATTAGTTTAACTTTCCCAAGGCCTGTCAATGGTAAATGAGAATCATTATGCCAGAATGCCCCTCTTCAAGGCTTGGCGCCTGCCTGCCTCAGCCCCTCTCTGTGCCTGTCTCGGTTTCTTTCACTGCCTCCTAGGTGGAGCTCACAGCTTGGCTGAATGCAACTCATTTTCAACTCTTCATGTGCAAATGCATCTCCCGCTCCATGAGAATGTTCTTTGCATCCTAATTTGAGTCATTGCCTTATATATTTCCTTCCTCCAAAGCGTAGAGCTTTATTTGTCAACGGAAAAGAGTATCTTTGTGAGCATCATTCGTTTTGGATTTCATTTAGCCTAAAATGGTCTTCTGACAATTGGTTTGTTCCTAGAAAATCAGCTAAA